CTATAATGGGATAGAAAGTACAGCAATAATATCAGGATGGCAAATTCTTTGGCTACAGCAAATGAGAACAAGCCCCAACGCAGCAACTGTGGACACAAACATGAAGGAAATAAAGCTGCTTACCTCTGGAAAGCCTCAGGTACAAAGGGATCTCCAGTGAGATATCCTTGCCTCCACTGCCAACCCTTCAATGAGGTCTGGGAAGGGGTGGACCTGGTTCCACCCCTTCTGGTCACTCAGCTACACTGCACACAGCTGAGTCCCCCTGGGTTGGCCCTGCCTTCCCATCAGGAGCTCAGTCACTGGTTCAGGCTGTGACTTAGCATTTCCACTACACGTGCTCATCTTGAAATCTCAAAATACCAACTATATCTCATGAACCAAAGTGGAAGAGAGACCTCCAAAAAGCTGGGAAAGGATGCATGGTTTTTGGACAAGCAGAAGACTTTCCTTCTGCCTCAAAGTACTGATAGTGATATTAACATACCCAGAGAGCTCTACAGATTCTTACCTGTAGACTTATCATTACAAGACTCACTAGGTGTGCTTGCCCTCTTGTTTTTCACTATACGCTGAACACAGATTAAGTGTATATAAATACAGTACCTTCCAAAGTGTCTCCTATTTACATTTTCACTCAGTATTTCCATACTTGTCTCAAAGCTGGAATCTGAATGCACAGTGATGTTTTTTCTTATTGGTCTTAAACAGTGTCCATGGAAACATTCCATTTTGCCAGAGGAAAATCTCTATGAAAAGAAGGAAATAAGAATACGTTTATTGGAATCCTATTTATTCATCTGAGAAAGAAACTCTACCTCATTTACACAAGTTAATTCTTTAACCCTCTGTCTTGATAGTGGGGTGACCAATGGCAGGTAGACACTGAGCCCAATAAAACAATTCAGAAAATGAGTAATATTTAAAGAATATTTAAAGGTTAGTATCTGCAGTAGAAAAAACAACATTCCAGCAAAGCCTTTTACAAAAACATACTATTTGACAAAAAAAAAAAAAAACAACCAACAAACAACCCACATTTTCAATTTCAAAATTGGTTCTGAGAAACAGTCTAGCTTATGAAACACTGTATATCCTAAAATTAAAACCTATTTAGATTTTTTTCTCCTATCTCTGCTCCACTTATGACTGCACTGCAACACAGATATCCCAAAGGGCTTCCCTCATCCACAGAAAAGCAAAGGGAGCCAAAAGAACCAGTTTGACACAGTAACCTCTTCCACGTTTATGTGTCTGAAAAGTCTCACACACCTTGCCAAGTACTTCCATTATGAGCTCTGTCCACCCACCGAAAAATAAGAACAACGCTCTCAAAGCTTAGAAGCCTTTTTATTGCCATGGACCTTCACACTGCTACCCCAGCAAGGATGATTGCCACGTTGATGCTGTGATGACCCTGAAAAGGGGCTCATCCTGTTTACAACATAGAGGTTCACTAAGAGTACGCCAAACTACGTTTCACACGAAGAAAGGAAGAAAACAGATAAGATTCTTCTGCTTCTCCACACCAACTTCACTATGAGCTATTTCAGTTAGCATTTGATCAAGACAATGACAGGACAGTGGTCACTGGCTGAGAGCAGCATGGGGCTCACGGGATGCCAATAACCACAGCCTGTCCTACCTTCTCATTTAGCTCTAGTCCCCAGAGTGAAGAGTCCAAGAGGGATCCGGCCCAACCCCTGCTCAAGCAGAGCTGTCCAGAGCAGGGTGCCAACAACCATGGTGGCTGATCTCCAAGGAGAGACCACAACCTCTCTGCCAGTGCTCAGGTACCCACACAGCACATAAGTACTGACTGGTGGTCAAGGGGAGCCTCCTATGTCTCACGGGCCTCTTGTCCCGGCATTGGACACCAATGGAAGATCCTTGCTTTGTTTTTACTGCACTGTCCATCCAGATATTTATGTATGTTGATAAGATAACCCTGAGTCTCCTCCTGGCTGAGCAGGCCCAGCTCTCAATCTCTCCTCACAGCAGAGGTGCTCCAGTCCCATCACCTTGGTGGTCCTCCAGTGAACTACCTCCTGCTATTTCTTGTACTTGAGGACCCAAAAAAGGACTCCAGGTGTGCAGTGCATACTCTTCATGCATACGTATACAAGTGCTAACAGTGACAGAAGGGGACATCTATCGTTAAGGCCCATGCAGCTTCAATGGCAGCAAGTGGAGCCTGGAGCACACCCACACTGCACATGGGTGCGTACCTCAGCACACGCCAGCACCAACTACCATTCTGCATAGTTGGCAAGCAGGAGAAGAGTTTTGAAACAAGGTACTGCAGCAGCCACAACTGTGGACCAGATCATAGACACCAGGGTGTTTACACCAACTGCTGTGCTGGGGGAGACCATAGATCTGGGCCTGCTACCAGAACCCTGGGTGTGTGTCAACTGGGAGAGCAGGTCAATTCAGGGTCAGTCACTGGCTTGTCTGGGGCCAGTGGCATGGTGCACCCACATATGTGCAGAGGGGTCTGAGTACCAGCAGCTGGGCCAAGGCTGGGCACCTTTGGGGTTCACATCCAGCTGCTTGGGAGACCTGGGAGAAGCTACAGATGTATGCAGTGTACAAGAACAAATGCTGCAAGGATCCGTGTCACACGTGGGCTCACTCCTTTGCTCAAAAATGGGTTTTCACCCTGATCAGCCAGAGGGAAAAGAAGCATGCTGCACGGACCGTTTACAATCCTCCGAGTGCTGCGGTCTCTCTCTCTGCTGTTGCATGGCCAGTTACATGTGCTCATACAATGTGTATTTACACCTAACAGGAATATGTGTTTGGCTTCAATTCTGGGCAAACAGCGCTGCAGCACCCTTGTCTTTGCAGGGCAACTGCGTTCCACCACCCCAAACATACAGCACTTTCACAGGAGAATCAAAGTTTTAAGTACAAGGAGTTACTGCTAAATAACATCGCTTGTGAAATCTCACTTCCAAAGACACAAAGTACACTTAAGCATGCCAGTTGTATCTGCTGCATCGAGTATTTCTACATCGACCTAAAACTAAACCTTACTCAGGAGAAAACTTAAAGGTTTCCAGCACCAGTTAAAAGATGACTGCAGCAATATGCCACACAAATCTCTGGGCTGAATTCCAAATTCAAATAAGAACAAACGCTTAAAGAATGCCAATATTGATCATTAGGAAAAAGACAATGTAATGAGTTGGGAAATCTTTCTGCACATACTTAAAAAAAAAAAAAAAGACTTCTCTGTAACAACCTCAGTGGCAAACAGTTGTCCTATCCTTGATAAACCGTGCAGCCCTTCTGTCTTCATTTTTTCCTTAATTCAGAAGGATGCTGACAAAACACTAACAATGTACACTGCTAACTCTGACCATCCCCCCCCTCCCAGGACAGCACTGCAGTTCAATGCGGGACAGAAGCATGAGGTTAACTCCAGCAAGCTGCCAAAAGAGCAGAATTAGCTCGTATCAGTTGCAAAAAGCTGAAAAAACACATCTGAGGAGTAAAGTAAGTAGAAAGAAGCAGATAAACCAGAACAAGGAGGAAACTGGATGAAGGAATTTTGAAAGTTACTTTCCTCGTTCCATAGGAAGTGATCAACAACAACTGTTTCTCAAAAGTTAGCTGTATGACTCAAAGGAACCGACTGCACGCTGCAGTGCCCTCAGAGCACACAGGTGTGTTTAGGCTGCTCACAAGGCTGGGAGCTCTGGTGCTGAGCACTCATGCAGATAAAGACTCTCATAAAGAGTCTACAAAAGGGCAAGTTTTCACCTTGTCTAGACAAAAAGCAAACTGTGGAGCACATAGACCTCAAGTACTGCTCACAGTACAGTGATCTTGCTCAGCCAGGGGAGTTTTACTAACATTGTAAACCTGTGGATATATAGCTTCCAGAGGAACACTAAACACTCATGGCCTCCCATGGGACTCCTTGGGCCTGAGAACTTCGGAGAAGATAAACCCAGCAGATTCCAGTTTACCTTAGACTTTCTGCTATACGCTCCTTAACCTGTATAAAGAAAGTAAACTGAATAACTTGGAGATAAATGGCTTGGTGATAGAACTGCAACAGCTGCTACCAAGACTTTGCACATTGAGCAGCTAGGGAAATGACATCAGGACTTCATCTGGGTTCCAACTGCATGTTCAACCCTACCCTTTAGGGCACTCCTACAGGTCTCTGCAATCCAAGTGCTCCAGCCAACCCTCAGGGGTCCTTCGAAGAAAGAATGACTCTAAGCCTCGAGGCAAATTTCTGCTGAGAAGGAGGAAAAAAAAAAAAGAAAAAACCCACCACAACACAAAGAAAAACATTACAACTGGTTCCATAATAATGATCTAACATTCACTGCAGTGATTCCGTTCACACTGAACTTCCCCATTGCCATTCCCACACTGACAACGTGCCAGATGTTTTCTTCTGCCTCACTTTACATGTGAGGGAGGGCAACACAACGGGCAGCCCAAGACCATGGAGGCTTCCACAGCCATGTCTTGTACACCGCAAAAGTGTGGAGTTTTAAGCAGACTCCACGTCTGCTTGTAAAGAAAAGACACCCCAAGAACTTCTTGGAATGGCCTGAAGTTGCACCAATGGAGGTTCAGGTAGGATATTAGGAGAAATTTCATCACAGAGTGGTGATGCTGTGGCACAGCTGCCCAGAGAGTTGGGATGGGATCACCATCCCTGGAGGTGCTCAAGAACCATGTGGATGTGGCACTGTGGACATGGTTGGCAGGCATGGTGGGATGGGTTGGTGTTTGGTGGATGATCCTTTCCCAGTTTTAGTGATTCTATCAGTCTTCACAGAATCACAGAATGGCCAGGGTTGGGGAGGGACCTCAAGGATCATGAATCTCCAACCTCCTTGCACATGCAGGGCCACCAGCCTCCCCATTTAATGCTAGACCAGGCTGCCCAGGGTCCCATGCAGTCTGGCCTTGAACACCTCCGGGGACGGGGCATCCACAACCTCTCTGGG